AAAGTATGAATTATATTCACATTAAGTATAAAACATGCTACCTGCATCTCGTGAACCAAATGATGATGGTTCCGGGACAAGAGGATGTCAAATGTGTACATATTGTAAAGCCCTCTGAGGCAAATTTGTGATTTTGCGCTATACAAAAATAAATTGAATTGAAATGTTATTGCACTTTTGTTCATATAGCAGTACTTTTAAAATAAAAGTGCGCAATACACTACTTTTGAATTCATTATTGAACTTTGCCATAACAATGCGATTAATCGCAAAAAAAATAAAAAAATCGCAATTAAATATTTTAATCGTTGCCCAGCACTAATTTTTACCCAACATATTAAATAAATAATAAATAAATACAGCTCAAACTAATCAGTCAGTCATTTATCATGGAAATACATTTGCTGGTTCATTATGTTAATTTATCAGTGATAATGTTGAAATATTAGTAATGTTAATAAAGTTAATGTATTAGTAATATATTTGAGGATGTACTTCCCTGTATTCTCATTATTTTTACAAATAAACAATCAATTGATTCATGGAGAAAATAATCAGCAGCTTAATCATAATGAAAATAATCACATTGAATACTTTAACTACATTTTACTGATTATACTGACACTTTTACTGTAACAGAGTTTTTCCAGTGTGGTATTAGTACTTGTACTGCAGTAAAGGGTCTGAATACTACAGTATAGTACATGTGTTGTTAGTGTGACTTACTTCCTGGTTGCCAGTTCTTCTAAATAAACGCTCACTGGCCCGTTGTTGGGAGAAACCTCCTTGATGGTGGCACTGTAGCTCCGCCCCTCGAGACGAACCTACAGGTGATACACACACGTATATGTATACACGTATATTTATGTACACAAGTAGAGTGAACCCTGAACTTGTCCCACTCACCTGACAGCGGTCTCCTACAGTGAACTGCATCCCAGCAGCGATGCAATAATCCATCTTCTGTTGTGCTGAAAGAAAAACGCAACCCAGTCATTGTTTATAAACGCAACCCAGTCATTGTT